GATTTGAGATATATGTGAGCACGTGTACCAATTCCCCACCTAATTTCTACATATAGTAACTTAATTTCTAGTAAAAATTAGGGGAGCAACAGTTACGCCAGATTTTCTTTCATTTATGCTAAGTTCTGAATTAAAAGGGCACCGATGAAGAATAACTCAACCTACCACACTACACTACCACCTATTTAAGGTAAATGAAAACCACAAAGAACTGACACCACTGGGTTGACGTTTTTCCTTTCTCTCCTCCTTGGAGGGAGAAAAGACTTGACTGATACTAAGATCACATGTAATAACAGGACCACTCAGGTTAGATAATGCAGCACAACACCACAAAGGTCAACACAGGTTGCTGATATACTGAGCAGAGATTTCGTCATGCATCCCCAGAAAGGAGGAAAGTAGTCCTTCCTCCTTCCATCCCACAACAAAGATTTAGGAACCAGGATAGCAACCAACCCTCTATAGGAAGTTGAAAAATTTATCAGGTAGTTGGGTCAGCGCTGATTTTTCCATGCTTTAGTGGCAACATTGCTTGCTAGTTGAGAACTAGTCTGGTTTAAATGTCTACCTAAAATGAACTCAGAGGAAATAAGGATGCTCCCTTCAAGCTTTTTTTTTTTTTTAATGTGTTTGTTTTGTACGGATTTTAGTAAACAGGCTTATCTTTTTACTGAAAAAAAACCCAGGCTTTTTTTTTTTTTTGAAGTATCAATTTCACTTTAATACTAGACGGTGCCCTGATGCTTGAAGAGCAAGCTAAAGGCTCCTATTAGGAAACAACAATTCACTAGAAAGCTGATAGGAAGATGACGACAGACTGATTTCAGCTGGTAACTGATGGTAGGCAATGGCTTTAACTGATCTAGCAAAGCTTGTTTCTGTTAGCACGTGTGGCAACCTCACTAGTGATCCACCTCCATTTGAGCTCCATGTACATGACAGAAAAAAACACTAAAAGAAAGCAGCTAAAATCATTTTTGGAAGAAAAAGATTTCAGTTTCCTTTAATGTTATTTAAAAACACAGAGCAGTGAGGAATAAATTCATCTTATAATTCTTCTCTGGGTCAGTATGACAAAAAATGAAATCCTACCAAATGCCGGGTAATTTTTTTTACTGAAGCAACAGTTCCAAGAGAACACAGGAAAGCATTCCACATAGGGGGAAAAACAGAACCCAACATTTTCCACTCTTACCTTACCCATTAAAACATTTTCTTCCTTACAAACTTCTTTTTTTTAAATAAAAACATTACCAGTGTAGAAGAAAACGTTTCCTACGTGGTCTTTCAAACTATGTTTACCACTTCCATCAGTGCTACACAGCACTGTTCAAATTCCACAGGGAGGAGCTGAGCTCAGGTGGGTCCAAGTGCCACACAGCACCGTCAGCAGGCACAGGTAATGTCGCTTCATAAGCAACGGCGACGTCCTTGGGGCTGTCTATGACAGAGCCTGCTTTCAGCTCTGGGAAACCTGAAAGTATCTGCTAAGGTACATTGACAACTTATGAAATTACATCATGAAAGCCAAGAAAAAAGAAACTGAGCAACTAATACTAAACTGAAGTGTTTCACGAAAATAAATGTTCGAATATTTCAAATAAATTCACTGAAGACTCAAAAACTGCAGCTAAAGCTCAGAAGAGCACACAGACTCTTATCCAAGTAGTTTTCAACAAAAGGTATAAAAAAGCCCATCCTGCTCCCCATTCCCAGTCACGTCTCAAGACGAACGTGACGACTTTTTTATTTCTTTCTTTATTTTGAAGTTATCAGCTAAAGGTATCTTAACTGTAGCCCAAACCAAACAGTGTCAGTAGTCACAGATTTTGTTTTTTCCACGATATTCTTGGCTTTCAATTGCTGCCCTTTACCAATGACCGAATCAGAGCTAGACTGTGAAAGAGGTGAGTTGGAAAATGGATAAATCTATCAAAACCATGTGCTAGTTATTTCTTTGCAGTCAGAGAAATTTCTTTTTGCTTTAAGACAAGTTGCGGTGACTGTGGATACTATTGTTTGAAGCTTGTACAGCTACTGAACAATGGAAACATTAAGTATGTTAAAGCACACTAAAACTAAACCACATTGCATTAAATTGCTATATTTAAACTGTTAATATAATGCTATTGTTAAAACAGACAGTCATCTGAGATGGCTCAACACTATCAGTGTCAGAAATTAAATGCAAGTGAATCCATTTAATCAAAACATTATGTTTTATATAATGAATTAATCATTCACTTGGCTTTCAACTGCCTTTGAACAAAGTGTTTCATGACACAACTTTACCTTCTATACAGTTTCAATTCATAAATGCTTTTAACCAAGTAGACTAATTACACCTTACCAACTGAAACACAAATACTTCCCAGTGCAAGCTCCAGAAAGGGTTTATGCGACTGAATAAAATAAATTTGCTCTTAAATGCTACATTTAAAGATACAACAATAAAGCTGTTATCAGTGAAATAACTGTGTTTAAAATTTTAATTACCAAAAATGAACCACATATGCCTATTTTCTGTATTTTCAATCAGTAGATCATTTACACATTGAGTCTGGAAGGAAGAACTTGTGTTGTAGAATAGTATTATGCTTGTAATAAAGTAAATGCATGGTTCCATACACATTTCAGAGCTACAGTGCTTTACATTTTTAATTTAACCAAGTATTGCATAGTAGAAAAGGAAGGGAAAAAAGGAAACCAACTGGTGAAAAGAAGGTGTATTAAAAGATATTGCTCATCTTCTGGGTATACTGTGAGTGCTTATAACTTAGTACCAATACCTAAAGATAAGGTTACAGAGAGCAAAGCCCTGGATTATGAAACTTTTTTTTTTGTGCAGAGCCCCACAGCTATATAAAGTTTGGTTGTATTTTAATGATTCATGTTTCTTTTATCCCAATACACAAAAGGCATTCATGGTTTACGGCACCATTTTTCTCATTTTAAATACAAGGTAAGACTCTCTCTCGCACTTCTGTCTCAGAAGTGTTCTCTTGTAATATTTTGGAAGATGCTCTTAATTAGGCATCTTAAGTACTTCTGTATCAAACATAAAGCCAGTAGTAAATATCTGCTTATTTCCAAGGAAATAATGTCACTGTATTTTATATCGGTGAAAACCTCCAGGGTTTTCCTTCTTCATCCTCCACAATGTTAGAAACTCAGAATGCCTACTGTTACGCTTACAAAAGCGGAGGCAAAATGTAAGGTTAAAACATGTACGAGGGTTATACAGAATCCTGACTAGAGAGCACTTTCTGCTATTTGTCCATTGTGTGGCAAGAAAAATCAAGCAACTCTGTTCCTTTTTAATTTCCTAAGTCTTGTGGAAACAACAGCCAGCAGTAAGATGACGTTTTCATAATTATGCTTTTGTTGCCAGATCAAATGTAAGGCATATATCATTCAGTGCGAAGTCATCAACACAGTACAGAGAGAAGACAAAAACCTCTTCATGCTCCCATAAAGACCCAACAGGTACATGTGCAAAACCCAGCAAAACTGAAATAAAGATAGACACAACATACAAGACAACTGTGTAGTTAATATTTTCTCTATGGTTTTACAAAAAAATAAATCAAGTATTACACAGATTATTGTTTTTATAGCTTTAAGAGGAGCAGCAGTGGCCAGCAATTTCACACAAGTTATTAAAATCCAAATCATAGCATAAGAATGCTATTACTAAAGCCATCTAACTTTATCAGAACAAGAGCAGCACTTGTCACAGTATGACGATGGTCATGTAAAAACACACATACTAATGCAAGTCAAACTGATACCATGCATCTTGAGACTGGAGTTATATACTGAAGAAATTTACCATGTTTTGGTAAATACACATTCAACATGAAGAAACATAAATAGTGGTAGGAATAGGTCACTAACTTTGAACACAAACGGTAATCAGGGATTGCTATGAAAGAAACAAATGCTCTAAATCTTTTCTATTTATTCTCTTGCTTTTATTTTTTTTCCTTCTCCTTTGTGCCTTTTTCACTTCTTGACAAAGTCACACAAACTGCAAGCAATGACTTTAAGATCTAGGCAAAGCATAACTTCAAAGCAAGATATTTTAACAGAAAGGCACACACATAACAGCAAAAGAGAGCTTCTGTCAAATAGCAGGCAGACTCTTCAGTGACCACAACTCAAGTGGAGACATGTCACTAGGCATTCTCACTCAACATGCTACCAAACAGCAGCTGACAGCTTGTACAGCACTTTTCCACATGTACTTTTTGAAAAAGCTTCCCAAGCAAAATGTGTGTCCAGAAGTATTTTACATCTGAAGTCACGGACAGTTTGAGTGACCTAATGAAGTTTAGTAAGTAAAGAGTTGACCAGATTTACCATCTTTTGGTTTCCAATCTATGCCCAATCAAGCAAGAGGATAAAAACCCCACACACTATAAAAACTTTTAAGCAATCAGGAATGTGATACATAAGAATGAACACAAATCTGTTCACCTTTCATCCTATAAAGCCATGAAGATTTTTGTGTTGCTGATGACCTTGTGTGTTCCAACCAAAAAAACCTCTTTTTTAACCAAGTAACTAGGAATCTTCTTTCCTCTACTTCTAACCAATAATGTAACCTGGAAGAAAGGAATAAGTCTATAGGAGACAAGGATTAGCAATTTAGCATGTACTACATTCATTTTTCAGTCATCTCCTGGGGAAAAAAACAACACAAAACAAACCAATCCAACCTTCTGGTAACATGAAAGATACATATTATATAGCTATGTCAGTTTCTATAATGAAACTTCAAAAATAATTAACAATATCCATAATACAAACCATAGTTCTAAAATATATCTGGATGTATACGTGTTTAGATACATATATATATTCAAAAAGAAAATTATCTATTTTTTTCCTTTTATATACATATAAACATTTGGTTAATATGTCTTAAATGTTTTTCCTTATTTAGGACTATTTTTTTTAAATAACAGTTTCAAACAGTCCCTTAGAATAATTTTTTTTCCTTTTTTTTTTTTTAAGATAATATTCAAAAGTGAAGAACTATCTCAGGGTAATCATAAAGCACACACAAAATAAATTAACACCATACAAATGTGGTTATATTGTTCAGAAAGTCCAATTCTCCCATTTGAAATGAAATGGAAACCAGTGTACCTTAAGGGTGAATCATATAACAATGTACAAATTCATTCTTTCTTTCTACGTCAATCTTCACATGAATTTTGCTGCATTTCCATAAAGCAAGAAACACAATAAATCCACGGAACTCTTGCAACAGAGTTGTGTTTCACTGGATAAACACACATTTGCTGAAGGGCAGCAAGTCAACATTTTATCACCGTCTGAACACTAGCAACACCTGTGTCCTTGTAAGCTTCACACCTTGAATTAGCAGCAACATATTTGATGGGTTCAGTAGTAATTTTTTTCTTCCAGTATTGGATTAGACTACTTTGCATATACAGCAAGTCAAACTAGTACTTGTGTGCAATGTTAATCCACATTTACATCTGAGAACTCATAATACACATGGAAACAAAGGTGAAAGAGAATAAGACCTCATCTCAGATTAGAATGTTTTCAGTCCACATACAGAAATAGCAGTGAAGAATAACAGTCTTGGAGGACAGTAGAAACAGAAGAAAAATACAACAACTAACACTAAGAAGTAGGTCACTGTTGAAAGGGCAAATGGGAAGTAAAACTGATCAACAGAAGATGTAGACTGTACCATCTGTTTAAATGTATAAATGAACTATCATTTTGCACATCACATACAGTGATACAGTATTATAACAGCTGGCATACTATTAGACTTACGGAAAGTGAATACTTAATTTCTCCTATTCTTAATGTACAGTAGTAATGCATTAGGCTTTGAAGCTTTTCATCAGCCATTGAGAAGTCAAGGTTACATTCCTACAGATATTTAATGTCCCAGTAAAAAAGTTACAAATATTCACTTTCCATGAACTTTCATACAAAGATATTAAATACCTTCTTAAACTGAGTCATTTCAGTCCTATTAGTTTTCCTTTTGTATTTTCAGAAGAAACACAAGGATCTCTGTAACTTCCAAAGTGAGGGGTGTTTAAGGCAGTGAAAGATATACATTGAGGTTTCCATGATTGCTTATGGTGCCTAAGCAAAGCATTTACACACAATTGCTCTCATATTTATCTACATGATTTCTTTATACTGTACATGATTTAGCAATCTTCTTGAGAAATTTAAAGTGCCACAGTTCAAATGTGCTCATCTGTCTTCTCATGGGCTTCTAGTCCATTCCAGTTGCTTTGAGAAACAAGCCCCTGCTTTACTTAAAAAGCAGTCTTTTTAGGGGAAAAAAATGCATCCTCACTGCTGTGCTAACTAGAATCCAGTGGTCGAATCAATCCTTCTTTGTAAACACGAAGAATAGCTTCACAAACAAATTTGTATTGACTCTGTACAAGAAAAAGAAAGAAACAAAAAACGTTTATGGTGGATTAGTCAAACTCCTGATTATGCAGTAGTATTTAATAGGACTAACAGTCTCACTGTTTCATTTTCTCCTGGACATAACAGGAGAAAAAGTACAAAAATTGGCTGTATTAATACGACATAAGTAGAACATTTACTCTTCTCTGAACAAGAATCATTAAAAACCTTACAATAAGGAAAAAAAGTCTGCAAATTTGAAAGAACATATCCTTTCACCCTAGGGAATATCATTTGTTTGTAAAAACTAAAAAATTTCGTAAGTTTCTTCTGACTTTGATGAAACTAGTTCTTCATACCTTTTATACATCTCACCACAGGTCTTTTTTTTGTACTGTTACCTGGTAATAACAACTGTTCTCAATCTCACTGTTGCATATTACCAGACACATTTAAGTTATATGACCAAGAAGTTACCAGATAGGATATATTCATCAAAGTCCATACTGCCTTGCTAAAAAAATTTTTTTTTTTTTTTTTTTTTAAACATTTGCTGTGTTGTCACAGAAGACAGAGTTGCTTTATTTCAAATAGGTAATCACATCACACATTATTTCCTTTCATAGAAGGATGTGATCAAAACTTTTGGAATGAATACTTTTGAAGAGTAACAGCCATGTTAATTCTTCTGTTCTCAACATTCTGAACTCCTTTAGTTCTTACAGGGTCTTAACAAATTAGATTGGTATTTGTTTTCTGAATTACACTACTACAAAGATGGTTCTTCCACAATGTTTCAAAGTTCTTACTTGTCAAAAGCAATTAGCCTGAGAATCTCTTTCCGAAGTGATACAAGACAACATTAAAATGCACAATGAAAATTCCATATAGCCAGAGCAAATATTTACAATTAGCCTAATCTTGAGAACACAAAAAGAACTCGTGAGGATCAAAGCATACAACTTCCAAAAGTACTTTCCATTGCTCACTCAGTCAAACCTCCAAATGAACAGCCTTTCCTCAACATCATATTAGGAGAAGCACAGCTTCATGTTTTCTGAATCCCTTTTCATATCTCTGAAATATTCTCCCAACTGCCGTTTTATGTCAACTCTCATCAACACTCCACGAGGATTTGGAAGCATTCCCCCAAAATCTCTCAAAGGACAGAAATAAAAGACAATGTATGGATTATGAAGAACATTATGTTGCATTTCAATACTAGTAGTTCAGACCTTTATTCTTATCCATACATGTTCAAAATATTTTTTCTTAAGTACAAAAGAAAAATAAAGGAAAAGTTCAGGATAGAAATTCATTCTCTCTCTCTCAATTTCCTGCCTTTTCTTTCAAACCTTCAGTCAATTACTCCCACCTCTAGTATCACTCTGTTCTTTTGTCTTTATTCTTAATTACCTTGACTTTTCTCTTGTTATTTTCATTTGCATATTTCTGCTGCCAGAACAACCCAAGTGCAATATTTAGCTCTCCGTTCACTACTTCTGTTAACACCCTTGTGTGATGAAGTTATTGAACAAGAACGAACACTTCAGCATTGCTTTCTCTGACTCAGACTTAGACTACTTGTTTTCTTTGCTGTTATCTATTTCCGCATTGTTTAGTATCTCTAATTAGTCTTTTAAAGGAATCTAGTACCTTTAAAAATAAATAAGGCCATAGAGTTACACAAATTTTGTCGAAGCTATTATATTTTCTTCTTAGTTTTTGTTTTGCTGTTCCTGATGACAAGATTATAGGTTTAAAAAAAAAAAACAACACAACTCTGACACAATAAATAGAAGACACTAAATTGACTTTTAATAGCTCTGCTAAGTCCACTCTTATCAGGATCTTAAATCTACCATCAGATCTTAAATCATGACACGCATCTGGCTATGTATTTCATCTTCTCAGACCTGAAGCTACAGAGCTGTTGAATATGCTCAGGTCAGGCTGCTACAGCTGAACAACTCCTAACAGCTTCCCCTGGAAACCCTACAGTTGATATGAGCAGTGGAGCCAGCTGAAAGGGATGCAAAGGAATGAAAGAGTATTCACAATAGATAAATATAAGTTAACACGGAACTCTTTGGTCGTCTGCTTTCTCACAGCTGAGTGCTCGCTCACATGCCTCATTCATAGAACAGTATGCCAGCTCTGCTCATTGGCTTCTGCATACTTCAGAAGTAACATGTGAATTTAGCTTCACTGTACTGCTGCTACATATCTCTCTCTCAACTGTGCTGATAGTGAACTGTGAAACACAGCATGCAATGTAAAGAGCTGTATTAATGTAAAGAGCTGTATTTTAGTATGTAGTTTTTCACAATCAAAGTCTGATGGTCAATGTACTTATCACTATAGTCCACATTCTTTAGTTATGCCAAACAATTCCTGTTGATGACTGTTAGAACAGGAGGTTCTCAGCACCCATTAAAATTTAGAGAACTTCAGGTTCTCACATCAGATTCTTAAAAATAAGATCATTTTCAGGAAGTTTAACTTTCAACTTCCTCAGTTCATCTTAGAAACTGAGAGGCATATGCAGTAAACTCAATTAGTCAACATTCAGCTTCCTAAACCTTGAGGCTAAGATGCCACGTGTCATTTCCATAAGGAACAGGCAGGGCACTATTCATACAACTTGCTCCTCAATCATACGCCCAGGGAGTGCACTCATACAGCAATGAATGACAAGAGTCTCAGCAACATGCATGAGGAATCTCTGTTCACAGAGCACTCTAGTATTACACTAGCAACCGTAATTCCTGATGTTTTCCAATGCTTTCATACCCTTAGATAATGCAAGACTTCCTCCCATCTGGTCAGTCACATCTGCAGCAGGTCCCTTCCAACCTTAATCATGCTGTGATTCCTCTGCTCAAGGGGAAACCGAAGTGTTGTGTGTGACTGTTGTTGTTGTTTTTGTTTTGCTTAAGATCAAAGGCAGAAATGCTAGATTTAGCTGCTGACTACGTGGATCTAAAACTCCTTTACTTTGATTTACCATAGGGCATTTAGCTCTTTTAGATAGTGCACACAGTATTCTTTTATCTGACTTCTTCTGAAGGCAGTGGAGACTCCTATCCCTCATCTCTAACTTCAGTTTGTTCATTTCCACATTTAACACAATTAAACGCCCTCCTGATCTCAAATGTTCAGACCACCTTCTTGTTAAAAAAAAAAATCAACTCTTATTTTCATATTTCAGTTATTAATATCATCCAGCTTATCCTGAATTTTATTCTTATCCCTCGTTTTTCTAAACTGGAGTAGCAGCACAATTTAAAAACCATATTATTCCTATCAAATTTCTACTCCTTTTCAAATGACGCTTCCTCCACAAATCACAGCACAAACACTTCTATTTTACCTCCAGTTTGAGAACTACCTTCGAGGCTCTGTACAAAGAACAAAAACCAAAAAGTTGTTTTATCTTCCTGCAGAGAATTTAGATGAAGGAGTATAAACAGATGATTTGACTTAATGACTTTCTGCATTCTAACTAAGTGCAAGGAATAGAAATCAATCACCTAATGCCAAGCTAAGAAATATTTACAGTTAAATGCACACCTCTCCTCTAAAGAAGCAAAAATATTATGTCTCACTGCACCATGTCATGCTAAGCATAGGAAGCATGAAATGTAAAGGCACCTGACGACAGATACAACTAGATCATGTAGTACTTCGCATCTATTTTAAAAATGAACATGAGCAAAACATACACAGAAAATGAGGGTTCCCACTCTATCACTTACTGATGTTTGAACCATCATAGCTCGCTGGTCTCGCATTTTTCTTACAATATCCAGTGGATAAACAGGTTGGTTTCTTTCAATTAAGCACATGGCTGTTTCCATAGTGACCAATACACCAGTGCGACCGATTCCAGCACTGTGAAGTGTAACAGAAAAACAGTCTATAAAATTAGGATTTTGCAATTCGCCAGACTCTTATCATAATATTATGATGTTAACTAGCTTTGCAAATTACAGGATGACCTTTACACAATTAGAATAGAGCACAAAGCTTATCTTTAAAGCAATTTCAATGACATTTCTTGCCAATGATAACAACAAAAAGTTATATAAATAAAGCCAAAAAGTCCCAAAGTAAATGCTTTTTAACAGTTATAGCTACTTACAAAACTCCATTTATACCTACTTACAAATCTACATGTACTGACTTTATATTTTTGACTAAAAAGATAAGAGGTAACTGACTGCTTTTTGACAGGTACTTTAATCACAGTAAAACTTTGAAGTACCATTCACAATGAATTTACAGAGGTGGTGGGGGATAAAAATGAAGAACAACTTACATTACAAACGATCAGCTTTGTGATAATTACGTAATTAAGCAATTTCACCAAAAGGACACAGGAGAAAGGAAAGAAACTGGTATTTCAGTCAGTGTTCCCATTTAATGCAAGGAATCTGCTACCTTCAAGACACTTCTCACAGCAAATGTTTATTGTAAGGCTACAGCAAAGGTATGGGTAGAATCTTAAAACACAGGTACCTGCAGTGAACGAGAACTGGCTCATTCTCTATTCTCTTTGGCCTCATGCAGGTCACAAACTCCAAGAAATCCATGGAGTCATCAGGAACACCATGATCAGGCCAAGCGACATACTGAAGATGAGTGACAGTGTGTTGCTGTTCTGTCTAAAATACAGTAAGATTTGCAAAGAGTGTTCAGTGTTACAATTCCTGTGTTGATGTTTATCAGGTACAAGTCACAATTTTCACATAATCTGCAGATGCTGTAAGATGTCTATGACACTGAAAACGTTTGTCATTTTATAATTCAAAGTAATGTATAAACATGTAATTCTGAGCATGCAATAAACACTTCCTAAATAAATGAGGTATCAGGTTTTATTTGTGATCTAAACAGATTAAAAAAAACACAAAAAAAACCCCTCACAATTCTTGGATATTTTCAATTTTTAAATTTATTGACTCTTGACCTGTAATACCTTGACATCAATGATTCACCTAAGGCAAAATGCTACACAACTTACACAACAGTTCAGGAGAGGCTGCAAGAAATAGCTGGAAGCCAAAGAAGAAATATTCAGAATAACACCAAAATAACGGGCATCTGGGCTTCCCAATCACAGCTCAACAGCATTGTTTTAATTTTACATTTCATAAAAATGAGGCTGTGTATACAGTAGCACATCTAATGCTACAGGAATGCTACACTGGCATACTAGCTCATGCTGAAAGGTGTGTTTCACTTGTTCATAACCTGCAGAACATTAGGTCCTGCCATAAAAAACAGATGAATGCTATCTTCATCTCATTCTGCAATTCAGTTCAATCTCCCAAAGTATAGCTGCATATCTTAACTAAACACACCTCTGTGTATATTTACAGACTGTTAAAATATAAAGTTGGCTCTAACATTTGCTTGTTGTAGTTTCTGTCAAAAAACAATATATGTTAATTGTAAACATATAAATGATTTCTGTACTGCCACAGGACATTTTTCTTTATGAACAAGCTAATTACTTGAAAGATTCTGCTATATGAATAACTAGTTTTTTTTTTCCATTCAATTATACTTAAAAGCAATTTTACAGAATGTCTTGCATTTTAGCTCTTTGCTAACTTTGATTATGAAACCATTCAGATTGGGCTCAACTGTTATGTTACAGGTGTTGCCAATGATTAGTAGGAAAAATAATGCAAACAAGAAGCCAAAGACTGTGAGCATTGCTGCATTGTGCAATGAGGATATATCACTCTTCACGAACTAAGCCTTTGTATCATTCCTTTATTTCTTCCACCTTTAGCAGCAGACATGCTGTTAGTTCTGTTTGACTGATGTCCATAACCGAAGTTAACATTTGACACTTACTGAAATAAAACTGTCCTTTATCACTGCACTAGTCTATAAAAGCTGACCTCTCTCAAGTTGTCTGTGCAACAATGCTTTACTGATGCTAGAGACTTGCAGTTTTATTTGTTTTCTTAAGTGTACAATTACTGGAATATATGACCTGTTTCAAATGCCTTCGACTTCTGCTTTTCCATTAGAGCAAGTGGTTTCACTCCCAAGGAGCAAGCCAGTAAAACAGAACAGCAAGACGACAGAATGCCTACTGCTTATGAACTGAGCAGAGGTCTAGGAAGTGATTTAATTCCAGGCAAGTAATTACAAAAATTTATGTTTATATCCAGGAACATGAAGACACATTGATCTTATACTTTGCTTCTTGAAGGCAGAGTCTGAGCAATCAGAATTAAAATGTCTAGAGTAAAGTTTAAGTGGACAATATAAGCTGACATTAATGACCAAACTCAATGTAATTCAAATGGTAAATATTTGAGATTCATCCAGGTCATCAAAAGAACCCACAACGACAGGAATTTCTGAAAGAAGCAGCATGGCCTTTTAACTACTTAGTAATCCAAGTCTGAAAAACTTGAGTCACTTTTTTGTTTGTTTGTTTTAAATAGCTTATAAACATTGAGTACAACAAGAGTTGTACATGCTGTTAGTCCTCAGAACAGTTTCTTCTGGTGCGATCATAGTCCATTTTCTGCTGCATGCCTTCTTTTTTCCTAGAGACCAACATACTAATTTTTAGCTATTCCACATATTTCTCTAGTTTCAGAGTAGTTTTCTAGTCATTTGTGTTTTGATATAATCAGCTTGCTATTCTTTTGGTTGTGCTGTTCTGAGATGATTCAAACTGTCAATAACTTGATTGCTACTTTGCTTATCAAAATGTTCAAGTATATTTGTATTAGAAATAGGGTTTTTTAAATATGAAATGAGAAATATCTCATTCAGAAAACACAAAACTATTACTGGAATTCATTATGTTTGAGTGTTTAGTGTTTTCCTTTATTTGTTTTTACTTTTCAAGTCTTTATACTCATAGTGAATTGAATTGGTCAGCAGAATACTGAAAATACATGGAAATGACATGCATTACCAGTTATGCGTGTATGACAAAATCTAGTACTCCTAGGTTAAATAGATGAAAAAGTGCTAGAATTCTATTTATTGGTCCCACAGTTAGCTCCACTGTGCATGTCTGAATAACAGTACTTATTTTTAAACAATTTCTCCCAGACCCTGCTTCTATGTCAAAAACTGGTAATGAAAAATGAAGAGGTAGACTCTCATTACACTTAAGCCACTTTGCAAAACATTACTGCCTGCAAGGCAACTTAAATCATAATTAGTGTTTCTTTTTTTACCCCACTAAGATTTTAAGTGACAGTCATTGTAACATCCTGATATTGTAATATACTGATAAATGTAGAACTTCTCTTTAGAAAATCTGGCCTTATGACTCCTGTTTTATAAGTCTAAACATATATACACTCACTGAGACAGCAAGAACTGCTCATTGCCCAGTTGCTACATTTGCCTAACTTGACATTATACACCTTGACGTTTCAATCACGTGGACAGATTTCAACTGTATTTTGTACTTGCTATTTCCAGAGATCAATTTCCATACGGGTAGAACTACAAGAACACCTTATTGCAAATGCAACTTCACTGTGGTTAGGCTAATATCCTGGATTTCTCTCAAAAACACCATGACCTTTTCTAGGGTTGGCAGAGGTAATATCAAATACATGCTGTAACAGTTAAGAAACAAATCTCATCTGTGAAGATCTCTAGCAACAAAAATATCTATCCTTCATCTTTCTGCAGATTGATATCTCGTTTCTCATAATTACACTGAAAGGTAGACTTCCTCATTGCATTTTGCTAGATTGAGTTTCACTGCTTAATAAAAGAGTCAGGTGTTCTTCAAAAAAAAAAAAACCAGCACACACACAAGAATTATAATACTTAAATAAAAGGAAGGAAATTTAGGTTCAAATAGTCAACTTTAATTTTTACTTTTCTTAAAATTTGAACAATTCTGTTCGCATTCTACTTTTTCATTTTTTCTTTTCAAGTTTTTAATTTGATCTTCTAACAGTGGTACTTCTACAGTGTAGAACTATATTTACCTTGAAACAGTCCCATCATCTTTGAAGGAAAATGATACACTTCTAGCTACTGAGCTTTACAAATATATTGAAAGCTGAAACTGTGATGAGGTTTAAGGCCTGGTTTGTGAAGGGTAGAGCGGTAACTTCTTTGCACCACTACTCCAATCTCATAATGCTTTTGAAGACCTCTGCCATAAAACTTTTCATCTACTTTCTGTTCTTCAGCTCTTTATGTTCAGAACCAATTCTGAATATTATTTTTTTCCTACAGTGAGTATTTGACAGAATAGAATACATTCAGTCCCGATACTTCACAGAGAAGTCTAAAGTACTTCTGCAGTGCAGTAGGTTCCAGACATTTATGACATGGTCAAATTTATATAAATGTAATTGGAAAGAAAATAAAAGGTCTTATTTTTAATGTGTGGAAACATAAGTTTCAGTGAAACAACCTAAGAGTCTTTAATGTGAACAAGCTGAATATTTCCCTCAAACTGCTGTACTTGCATGCAACTTGCAAAGATGACAAATGGTGTGGAAACTTAAGCCTTAAGAACAGAAATCTGTAAAAAAAAAAAAAATTAGAAGGACCATGTTTTCAGCTGCTGATAGAAGAAGGTGCTGCTTATTTACTGCCTAATCTCATATCAATTTAATACCATGACTAGAATGCCTGCAAGCTGGTCATTCATAAATAGAAAGATGTGTCATTATTTGACTTGCAATTTTACCTACTTGCAGCAAACAGCAATATCCTCCTTAGCAAAATGAATTCATGCCTACTTTTCGATTTCTTTGAATTGATGCTCCAATCTATTTATTTTTCTTCAAACCATCCTGTCCTTCACTGTGATGTCAATGGAAAGTGATAGCTTATAAATTAAAAATAAGCTTTCCTCTCAAAATCTTATTTGCATTGTCATTATTTGTGCAAACATTCCATATTCTGATACAAGGAATTGTCTTAATCACATTGACTTACGTTGTTTATAAGGTGTCAGTGCTCTCCCTTGTGGTGCTCAATTGTTATTATGGCAATGGTTTAACTGGTCTTTAAAGGATGAAACTAAATCCATATTTTAGTATCTTTACTTTTCTTTTTGGTTGAATGATTTTAGTTAATAATCAAATCAGGAGGGAGAATGATAATGCACTTTGGAAACGACTACAAGTAATGTAAAATGTGACAGAATGGAAAAAACCTAACTTGCAACATTTCTTATTTCAAGCTTTTTGAATACTATGCTTCAGCACACATTATCTCCATAGCCTTCATAAGCATCACAGCAGGGTTCTAGTTAAATTTAACTGAAATTGTTTAAAGACAGAGGAAACTAGAAAAATAAATGTTCAGAATATAACTGGCTGAAATTGGAGAGGTCAGAATGTTCCAAGGGAATTATACCCAAAGGTAACTGAATGAAAGGTTTTTTTCAGGCTTTTCATCCTAATTTTTCAATGATTAAAAGCAAACACTTATCTTGTTTTATGAAATGGTGCACTGTGTGATGAATTTATCGGTTACATTTTTTTTTCCTTAGGTATGTTTGTTTTGATTCCCCAAAGCCTTTCCCCCCAAAAAACAAACTTACTGTTTTCTGTGCTTTTCTTGCGTAAGATACATTTCAGTCTTGAAGATGATGGAAAATTAAACCTTTTTTTTTTTTTCCCCACGAGGCTTAGAAAGGCTACATATATATTTCATACATTTGCAGTCACTTGCTTCAATTTCAGGTAAAGAAGCAACAAGATAAACTCGGTGAGAAGAATCCTAAATTTTTTTTAGTTCAAGTCTTCTGAATATATGTGAACAAAAGGCCAGGGGCATCATTTTGTAAAATTCACTTTTGAGCAATTTTCCTCTAAAGGCAGATTTGAAATCTATGCAATTTAATACACACAAAAATTTTTCACAAACACGCTTTTCCAATCAAAATCAAATCTCTTGAGAGTTTTGAAGCTTTATCCATCTTATTAGGAAAAGCAACCTGTCTTCATAAAGACCAATCCAATGATACTCGCTATAGATCAGGGAATGATAAAAACCTGATTTGAATTTACATGACTTTTGATGTATTCTTTACAGAATTCAACAATATTTGTGAGTGAGAGCACATACAAGGCTCTGCAAAGTATACTCTTAGGGAGAAGATGCCCCAGAAGAATAGATTTACTCAGCTCCAAAAAGCAGCTCAAATGACATGAAAAACTAGGAGATAATTCATTGTTTTTTCCCCCTGCTACATTTTGAAATAAAAGCCTTTGTATCTTGTTATTTTGAAACACAAAACTCATACAGGGTTTTCAGTTATTAGGATCATATTTTTAACTGCATGGGACAGCTGAATAGTAAGTGTTTCTTTGAGTGTGACCATGTGACCACTCCATTTAAATGTATAAGAAAACTTGTCCTTAGTGAAATAGATTTAAAATAAAAGCAAAAACAGAACACAATCAAAACAACCTCTTCCCACAGTAACACTTCCACTGGGCTCTAGCTTTAGGATGGTTTTAAAAATTATACCACTTTGTCTCATGGCAGTGAGCTCTCCACAAGTATAAACCTTTGCAGTAGAAATGATGTTCTCAGCTGATAGCTACATGAGACAACTGTTTGTACAAGATCCTTGAACTTTCACATTTATTAGCATGACTACAGAAGAACAATCTATCTCAAAATACTTGTATGAAAAAAAAAAATCACCTGCCCCATTCTCACTAACATTTTTACCAACCACACGACAGTAACTAGAAGCTAGAAGTGACGCATACTGAAAACAGTCACTGTTGAATTTACTCAAAATTATGAAATGGTGATAATTACTAACTGGGAAAAAGAATTTGAACGGGCTTAAGCTAAAATTTACAAAAAGGGTTAGATAACCAAATTTAGTTGGCAACCAACCAGTTCGAATGATAGTGAATAGCAATTTGCCTATATATTTTCTGCTTTAGTGAGGTTAGTTTCTTCTGTACTGACATTCAAGTTTATCACTTACAGAGCAGTTTGCTGAAAAACAGAACGAAAACTCATAGTGCTCCCTGAACAGATGGTTTCTCATAACTAGCATAAACCATTCCTCTTTTTAGAAAATATTTGTTCAATATTCACAGAATATTGAAAAAGTGCTGAAGAAGGAAACATATAAGAAATGTTAGACAACCTATGAACAAAAGCCAAACTTTATTCCCTATATTCATGCTGTGGGAGACAGAAATGGGACCTGAATGTTAATTTCACAACACAAGCTCATGTGTAAGTAGTATTCCATATATTTCACTTCCCTTTTAGTTTGTAAGCCTCCTATAAGCATAGAATATTAACAGCTAAAGTAACTAAGTGCCATACATAAATTGAGTACATTGGGTTTGAGATTCAGAGCAATTTTTTATTTTTTAAACTCTAAAAAAGAGCTAGTAAGATTGTGTGTACTCTCTGAAATGAACATTGTTGCAAATTGCTTCTCTGCTAGCTATTCTAAGCCATTAACCAAGTCACCCATACCTCATCCTTGAAAGGACATTGAAAAAAAATCTTACTGAAAATCTATTTATGAAAAGTCAGTGACTGCAACAGTTTTTACAGTAAAGCATCAAACTTCTTCATGAAGCTCATTACAGTATCTGTACAGTATAATGGATTAATATATTACAAGACAATGCAACTCTTCAAAATGTATGTTTTTGAGAAAATGCTAAAGAAATAATTATACTGCACTGATCCATATTCTATACACTCATCTTTTTATAAAGATGTATATATTCACACAGTATACATCCACCTATCTGCATATATGTTCATTCAACTTGCTTAGACATAATTTAAGACAAGAAGCATTTACCTCAACGTTTGTAATCACCATTTCTCTGACAACATATGCAATTGTACAATCTTCCGAGTGGCATCTGACACGAAAGCCGCCATACTCCATTACATCTGGTGGATCAGGCCAATACTGATGACATTTTGTCTGTAGAGACAAAGGAAAATTAAGTGCACATCAAGACCTCAAACAAGTACTTCTGTTTCCAGAGTTCTCTCCCATGGTTCAGAAATTCAGGGAACAACTGTAATCCTTTGCTGGTGATAATGTTCGAAACTCAAACGTAACCTGACGGAACAGGATAAATCCTCTGTAATCTTGTTATAGACACTTACAATAAAAAAATTCAAATAAATCGGATGCAAGCTAAAAGCTTTCTGCCAGAAACTTCCATTTCTGAAAACTATTGTTCAAAGCATGAGGTTCTATCAAAGTTTGATGAGTACACTTCTAATTCACATTCAATCAAAAATACTGAATACAGTATCAAAGAAACATATCAAAGAACAACCTACTAGGATAGTCCTGAAAGAAGTAAACTGTTTACAGTATTGTCAAGCTCTTTACACAGGAGATATCACCAGTGCCCTGCTTACTAACAAATCTTTTCCCAAGCAGCTGCATAGAACTCCACTGAGTATGAGGATACAGATTAAGTACAAGCAGGTGGGCATGCTGTGAATCTAGTTTCCAGTTAAAATTTGCTTATCTAGTCTTTTTTTTTTTTCTTTTCTCCAGTCAGCTCTTAGCAACAATACAGCTTACAGTGAATATATTACTTTTCAATTCCATAAAGTAACTGGATTAGAATTCCCTGGAAGATACTATATAGCTTTAAAATCCTATTCTATGTCATCACAACAGTTCACAACTTACAAAGCATGTCTCAAATACATCAGAAGCTAGGCACTACACAGGACGAACACATCTACCTATAGCAAGTCAGCCACTACCAAACAACCTTGTTAATTCAATTTTACCATTGGAAATGTCTTGGACTCTGCACTAAAGCCAATAATCTTTACTTGTTTTTATCAAAGATGACTGAGAGGGAGAGTGAGAGGTTGGCAGTCTGGGTCACACAGGTAGAAAAAAAGAAAAGTGTGTTGAACTCAATGAAACAGAACACTATCAATTTTCCTGGCTGCACAAAAGGTCATGAACTGTAAAGTCCAGCTCGTCTAAAAATTGAAGATTTGTATGACAAGTTTATTAAAAAAAGCATACATCTTCAAGAAGTGTAAAGAAGTTCCTTGTAAAAGCAAAACAATCACTGATAATTTTTATTACGTTCCAGTTTATGATGACTCAAAGAAGAAAACGTATTTACTTTTCCGAAAGAGCATCTAAAACTAAGTATCTATTTCCAAATTTAAAAATATAAATGAAAAAATGCTTTGTAACTTTAAAAGCTCCTTTAAAAAAAATGAAATAGTAGACAAAGTTGTGAATCACTCAGTGACAAAAACTTAAACAGACCTTGCTTTTCACATGCAAGCCAGTCAAGTTTCAGAATGGATGCATAATCAACACAGTATGTATGTCAATATAGTATGTATTTCATTGCACGAAGAAAACTGAGATGATCCAGCTGAAGGTCTCCTACATCATGGTTGAAGAAACTGGGTTTGTTCAGTCTAGAGAGCAAAGATACAGTGGGATTTAAGGCAGGCACTCCGTATCTAAACGGTGATTTTAAGAAGTGCGTTGTTTTCACAAGGATGTGTAGTGGCTAAGCAATAAGCAACAGGTGGAGGTTGCTTCAGAGGAAATTACTGCAGGATAGAAGAATAAAATTCTTCACTGTTAAGAACAATTAACCTTTGGAATACAGGTGAGAACAATTCAATGTTGGCACTTCTTAGGCCCGAAGAAGTGATGGAATATCTTCTGCTGGAACTGCTAAAGACGTGCCTCACCAGAGGCCTAAATAACTGAATCTAATGCTTTCCTTTCAACAAAAAACATGACAAACCTATTCATTACTAGTCTTACCTAAACTGACATAAATAAAAGTCAGCAGGTTAAATTATGACAACTAGTACTTATTAGCTAAAACTAGTAAGTACTGAAATGATAGATTCCACTTTCAACCTGGACCGCGAGTTTTGCTCAGAACTTCCAGACATTTGCTGAGTCACTGGGAAAGCAACTGCGACATAGAATCCAATTCTCATGGGAACGAACAGTAAGCAGTACATGGCTGATCAGCAGAATTCAAATCAATTCTGATGATCAGACAGCTGGTTTGCTTTCAAAGAAACAGAAAATAACAAAATCACACAGTTTGTCTTCCCCCAATTAATTCAGAAAGCCTGGCCTTCAGAGAAATTGTTCAAAAGAATAAGATGGCATATTTTAGGGTTCTTTAATCACAACAATGGGAAAAACAGTTTCAAGGTGTAGTATTTCTTTAGAATACAAAGAACCTGAACACACTTACCCGCCCACGTTCAGTGAGTGTTGTTAGCATAATGATCAGTGACAACTTGTGATCCCAGACAACTTGCCAGAAGTGTGCACATGTGTGAGGAAGAGGCCCTTGAGTAGCAATGTACCTATTCACAATGCCCACAGAAGGAATTTCCATCTATAAATAAGAAGAAATTTAAGTAAAATTAGTTCTCACTATGCAATACTGTTATTTTTATTTTTAATATTCAGCATTTCATTCAAACAAAGAACATTTTGAAGGAAGATTAAAAATTGAAGTTGAGCAATAAGACGATCAAAATCACAATCTGTTATGCAATAACCTTTAAACATTTCATTTAAACCAGAACTGTAGATACTAAATCCCTTCATCTGTACTATGAAGAGCCAAGTAAAAGTATCTCTGTTTTCAAATGTAATTAAAAATGTGAAGCTGCACCCCTTTCCAAGTTTTCTTTAATATTTAGTAAGAGAAGAAGGCAAAATATACCCAAGGTACACTAGTAAAAGCTGTGTAATGGCTGATAGTGGATACAATAATAACAGCTTAAACGCTTCTTAGGCTACTGAGGTATTTATTGAGAAATCAAAGTTGACAAAATACCCAACATATGTTGTTCTAAAATACTTCTAATCTCCATGACTGCGCTCAGAGAGCGAAACACTTTCAGCAACTAGCAAAAACCTCCAAGAGACTTAACTGCTCTGCTTCATTAGTTTAATGCCTAATTATTCACAGTCAGAGAATCACAGAATGGCTCAGGTTGGAAGGAACCTTAAAGACCATCTACTTCCAATTCCCTGGTATTGGCAGGACTGCCACTGCCCAGACCAGGCTGCTCAGAATTCCATCCAACCTGGCCTTGAATGCCTCCAGAGATGGGGCAGCCACAGCTTATCTAAGCAGCTGCGTCAGGGCCTTCCCATCCTCTGAATGAAGAATTTCTAACATATAACACTTCCCCTTTTAATTTAAAGCCATTCCCCCTTGTCCTGTCACAATCAGACAGCCTAACAAGTCAGTCTCTCTCCTCTTTATAAGCTCCATTCAAAAACCAGGAGGCTGCAATGAGGTCTCCCTTCTCTTCTCCAGCCTTCTGATCATCTTTGTGGCCTCTTCTGGACCTGCTCCAATAGCTCTTGCACTTCCCTTGTGCTGGTGGCCCCAGGTCTGGAGATGCAGTACTCCAGATGAGGCTGAGCACAGGAGAACCTCCCTTGCCCTGCTGCCTTCTCTCTTCTGATGTAGCCCAGAAAAGTCACAAGATGAAAATTACTTTCCAATATTTATTTAAAAACATGAAAAAAATAGTCACGAATGTTACCCATATTCTGAGGTGCAATACAGAAATAAATATTAAATTCCACAAATCTATGTTATGCAGTATATAAAAATAATGGTGTCTCTATCTTCTGTGTATCAAGGCAGCTGATTGTTTCACAAGTGACACTTGATTCATACCATAAAACATCTACACAACTTTTATATTCAGGAATCCCCTGAAATTAAAACAAATATAGCTTATTCCTTAAAATGGCTAAATTTAGTCTGCTATTACAATACAAAAAGCAAGCAAGTGCAGGTCATCCTATGACTTACGTTCACATAATTTGCATTAATGTAATCTTCATCTCCCTGCAATATTATCCTTGTGGCATCATCTGCACACACACAAAAAAAAATAAAGAGGGAATCAAATTAGAAAATAAGAGGCATGTTTCCCTTTTAATAGAAAAAGAGGAACTGCAGACAGACAAACAGCAGGGTACAAATCAAAATAGATAACCCTTTAGAAAATAAAGTGAGTGATTATTTAATTTTTTTGAATGAAAATTAAGCTTTACTAAGAAGTTAAATAAAGCAGTTTTAAACATATATACTATCATTGAGAAAATAAAACAAAAGATGCTGAGAATATGTACTTTATACTCACAAGGCAGAACATCTTTGTATCGATTCTTGTCCATATTCTGAGGTACTTTTGCACATGTAACAGCCAATCCCGGTTTTTTTCTATAAAGTTGCTGGAAAACGGAATTTTATAAAAGGGTAAGATATGATTATGCTAAATAGATCCACATGAAGACAACAAAGAAAAAAATCAGAAGCTACTTCATTTTTTTCTAGCCAACCGCAAAATTCCCCCGAGAGTATTACTTATATTTTTACATGAAAATAACTTCTATTATTGCTAGTTCATCATCATCTCTAGAAGAATTTCTAGAAGGAAATAGAAAAAGTGAGAGTCACTGATCTAAACTGGCTTTTTCCTTGTAAAGTCTTCTTTTCTTATAACACATATCACATCACTGTGGAAGGGCGAGAAGGAAAAAAAAAATCAAGAAAGTAGAAGAACTGAGCAATAAAAGACAACAAAAGAAGTTACAGACTGATTTCGGTTATTACTTAGAATCAACTGTAATACAAAAATTAAAATACTCTCTGGACTAAAACTACCACATTCAACTCTGTTAATACCTGAAAAGGCAAATCTTCAGCACACCACAGTCTTTTAATATGTAATACCCTTCTATCTTACCAAGACCTACACCTTGCAAACTTTATCTTAAGCAAATGTGGGCAAATGTGCATATAACCAAAAATTAATTCTGAGGTCAAATGCACTGAATACATGGTACAAGGCAATAAAAAGTACTAAGGGGGGAACACTACAAAAGAAAATTGAAGAAATGCAACCACACAATTATAGTTTCCCTTTATTAAATATACATGAAAGCAATTTACAACTGAGTTATTAACCTGGCTGTGCCAGAGTTTTATGTGCTTCACTGAACACTTGTCAAAGACGTAATTACAGCTTTCATGTTTAAGTAAGATTTAGAATATGGTTTTGTATATAAAATTAAGTGAAACCAATAGGATGCTAAAATCTCCTACTTCATTTAAGAGAAAGGGATGAGCACACAAAACTTATCCTATTAAAAGGATACTGAATCACAGGACTCAGTATGTACCATAGCTCACTACATTTTTCAGCCTCCTTTCAGCACAAACAAGGGAAGAGGCTGTATGGGAAGAGAGCTCAATGATCTACATAGCAACCAAACAGCTTCCACCAGTTATGATTTCAGATCCATTTTAACAGAGACAAGGTAAAATTTCTACTTTTTTTTTTGTGGGAGACAAGGAAGAGCAATTTCACATAAACAACAATCCTGGAGCTCTCTTGTTGCTGCCTGGCTAAAAAGCTACTTAATAGAGAGAATTCCTGAATAATGTTTAAGTGGAAATAAAACAGAGAAAGATATTCAGGAAAAAAATTGGGTATATGATAGTGTATTAATTATTCTCTATTTTACTAACATGAATGGAGAACATAATAGTTACCAAAGGTGATAAGGAGACTCTGCAACTGACACTGAATTTGAAGATGACCACTAAGCTCACTACATTTATTAGATTTCAAAAAGGGTTCTGCATTTCTTTGTAGCATCAATAACATCCTGCTAAAACTGCTGTCAGGAAATTAAAATGTCAAAGAATCAAATATCCAATGAAAATTATTGAAGAAACATTGTCAGAGTTGTTGGCTAAATTCATGTACAATTAACATACTGAAACACTAGTTCATATCTTTTGAGTTACTGTTTCAGTAGCTAATAATTTGCTATTCCAACACTGTTGCGGATTTTGGAAAGCTGATATAAACCACAGAGTCAAGAATTCCTAAGAGACAGGGAAGACTTAACCCTTTAGAAATTTTGGAAACAAAGGAGAACTCTCAAAAGGAGTTTTGTAATAAATAACATCAAAACTCTTTAGCCACCAGCATAACATTTTACAGCATTTATAAAAAAAGCAACAAAAATGGGAAAATTGCCAGTGCTGTTCAATATGTTTACAGAGTCTGAAAGAACAATGCCAGACTTTAACAGTGTGAAATTAAGTCATAATAACCAGAATTTCTCCAAAGTTACAAAGTCTAGAAAATAAACATTTGTATCTCCAACAGAAAAAATGAACACAAACATACTGTGTGATACATTTCCATTAGAAAAGCAACAGAATTACCTTTTCTAATTTCTTGCTTCTAATTTCTATGCTAACACTGAAGAACTGTTTTAATAAACTGCAAATGTTTTAATGATCAGCTTTCTAGAGTATGCCTTGCCAACATTTTGAAGAACAAACATTGATGAATTATAGCAGTTTGTCAAGTCTCATCTTGCATACAGGGGAATCTCACCTACAGAGTAATCTGCCCAAGAAGTAACCATCCGTGCTTTGCCAGGAAAAAACATCAGACTGGACACTACAGACCACATATGGAAATAACATTGCAACACTTCCAAATTAACCTCTCAGAGAAGAAGAGCAGGAACAGTCAAGCTGCTGATGTTATTCCATGAAAGGCAGCAAAACATGACAATGAGAAAAATCTAAGGATAAAAAAGATGTTTCAGAAATCTCACCTAGTAACATAGAAGAAGAAAAACTACAAAACTATCTTCTGTCAATCTCCTACTATTTTACTCAATAAAACAATTTTTTAAAATTTAGTGAGCTTTGGGTACTTGAGCTGGAAAAATGTTAATCAAATCTGAGGGGCAACTCATATTCCTGCTCTCTGAAGATGAGAGTGAAAGGGAGAAATAAGTTTTCTAATCAATTAAGCCCTCATGTTACATGCTGGTCACAGCTGTTGGTCTATACTATCAGCATTAGAGAGTTGAGTATTACCCACCTCAAACTGATGAATTACTGTCCCACTTTCCAGCCCTTTCCTTAGTTGTTCCATAGACTCATCCAGAGTATCAGCATACTCAGAACAAAGAAGAGCTTCTGGGAGATTCTGGGAATCAACTTCATCTTCCAATCTAGGCTCCACAAACTGTTTAACTACTGAAAAGGTGTATTGAAAATTAAAACTTTTTACATAGAGCATTCACGTGTTTGTAATGCATGCCAAAATTTACTAGCTTGTGAGAGCAATAAAGTTTGCAAAGAAAATTTCAAGGAAGTGAATAATTGCAACATATTTACTTCATTTAGTTATATATTATATTACTGCACAAAGGACTAGAGTAAATGGTCCTTGTAGACAATTTCCTTTAGGAAAAAGAAATTCCTTAAGGAGCTAACTAAAAATGACTGTTTCCAAGCACAATAGGTTTTTTGCTGCTATTATCTGCTGGATAGGGTAATGACTCACAACATTACCATGGTAGAAATCAAGTAAGTTTTACATTAAAAAAATTAAAAGATAATTAATGGAATATCTTTAAAAGTTTGGAACCCCTCACAGCAAAGCAAACAAATACATTTACATAATCCCTTTCCATTAGAGGAGCAACTAAATTCTATTTTCTAATTTACTATTCAGTCACACCCCTCATTTTAATATAAATCACAGAATATCTTTTGACAGTTTTCTATGGCATTTCTTGCTAAGATACTGAAGAACGTGAAAAGTGTCACTGAAAAACTTCACCACAGTTTTGTCTATGAAGATGCTGAAGATGCCCACTTGTGGCTATTTCCTGCAGTGATCAGTATGGCCCATTCTTGCCAAACTATAAAAAGATGGTGAGTTCTTACTCGTGTCTATACACATGACTGGCATGGGGCCACAGTCTTTAGCTCAAAGCAAAGACTTATCAGCAAGTAGGAAGAGGATTAAAAAAAAAAAGTTAAGGAAAGACTAAATACTGCTTGGAGCCAGTGGAGAGACCTGCAATAACTGAAGCAGGACTGTGTTCAGGGAGAAGGACATGAAGAGCTCATCTATCTTCCTAGAAACATAAGAAATTTAAATTAAATAAACACTACGGAGGCATATAACATTTATGCAGCTTTCTTGCCTCCTGTTTCCTAGCAGTGCATAACCCCTCCATATTTTTAAGTCATAATGCATTCAGAAACTCCTTGCCAAGCCTTTCTATAATCATTTTTGTTAAGGTCTTACCATTGCTCCTAGAGAAAGTAAATAACAAAGTAAATCATCATTTCACTTCACCTGAAAGTTCCTGCAATCCATGTGTTTAAAAATGGAGCAGGACTGATTCCTTGTATTTAAAAAATAAATACCTATTACCCTACATATTTCAGAAACTGTCTTGTTGCCAACAGGAATTTAGTGAGTAGTCCACATGGGTCAAACGTCTCTTTATAAAAATATCTGTTGCAGGTTGTTTTGTAGAATCACTGCACTGGGGAACAGCGGCTCATAGGTATTTGCAAACTCACAACTGAAGATTTGTGAAATTATGCTCTATTTCCAAAAAGAATTTTTGAGAAGAAACATTTGTTGTTTGAGTTTAGAGTTAAAAACATAAGAAATTTTAACTTGATAGACTCATCTGTATTCAAAAGAGCCCATAGTTAAAAATATTTATGCTACTAATTTCAATGCAAGAGGAACTACTTTTTTATCACAGACTTATTCCAAGTGAAACAAAACCACGTTTACTAGAATAAGCTATTCAGGCAGAAGAGCAAGACTCCAAAACATTAGAATATAATAAGCCCAGTTACCTTTCCTCCTGACCAAAAGTGCAAGTTCTCTCGTGTGAGATTCTCTGCTGGCTTTTATAAACATGACCACCTGGTCATGCGTGTGTTCTGAGATATCTCTGCCATTAATTAATACTATCTGATCACCTTCATTCAGTTTTGGACTGCATTTATCAGCCTGTTTCAAGACAGAAAAAACATGTTAATGTCATTGCATCCAGCCACATAAGCAGGAACAGATCAGAATATTTCCTGTAAGGAAATTCTTCAGAGTTCTCTTGAAAAAGTTTCATCTTCTGTATCAGAACTTCAATCAAAGCAATCAGATCTAAAGCTGTTTTTGTTGCTCCAAAGCTTCTTAATGAAGATGAGGAATAGTTCCAACAGCATATTGATAGCTAAAGGAAGAATTCATATTTATCAGATAGCTATTACCAAATTGATCATAATGATCCAAATTTCAGACTGAAAACCTTAACAAATGAAACTTTCTCTCATAAAAAGGTCTTCTAGGTGTACAAGATGACATTTGCAACTTTCCGTTTTTATGCAGTGATACTGGAAAGTACAAATATGACTTTGAGGTTATTAAACTGAACATATCTTAAGTAACAGGACATTCCCCAGACACGGGTTCCTTTCTACAACTTCAACTTATTCATGTTTCGCATAGAAGACTACTTCTTCCCAATTTCCTTCACTAAGAGCTTCATTAAGCGTACATCTTGCAACTTAGAGCAATTTAGACCATCTGCTGAACTTTAGGACTTGCTTGGCTTTTTTTTCTGCTGTACTTAGTATACTTAGCTTTGTGACCAGCACAAAGGAATTAAAGCCACGGACAAGATATGATGATGGTCCCGGTCAACAGGCTCACAGTGTCCATGTTTGAGCTGGGGGGCTGGACCTCCAGATTTCATGCCAACCTCAGCCAGTCTACAATTCTGGTAACATGAATAGGAAGGATTCTATAACCTTTGAGAAGGGTGCCAACTTGTGTAACCATTTTATTATCACTGCTATTCTGATTTTTGTTCTATTTAGGAAATACTCAGCTTTACAGAAGTGATTTAGTTAAATGCACACTGCAGTTTAAATCTTTTATAAATTAGATCTAGTCCAATACAGTCTGTTATTCTATATTATAGTTGTTCCCAATGTTAACACGGGTTCCCCAACCTTTATTCATCTAATGTTATTAGCTCTATCGAAAAGCAAACCTGAAAAAGATGTCCTAATTAGCCCTCTCCTTCTTATCCTGATTATGCCTTGCAGGAAGCATGGATAACTTGCCTGAACTAAGTCTATCATTACCAAATTTAAAAACAGAAAATGACAGAAAAGAGAGGTAATAATGACAGAATCAGTATGAATAAAAAACAACCCAATAACACACAAAAATAAATACTTCCTCCTACAAAAACAAAAAGTAACACCATGCATTTTCTATAGAAAGAAGTAAAGAAACAAATGAAGGATAAGGAAGATTGACAATGCTGCATGAAAAAGATATGCAAATAGAAGCAGAATGGGAATAAGAAACAGCCATGGTGTTCCTCAATACTGATTTAACTAAATATTCAGTTTCCAAAAAGAGACGCTGTCATTCTTTGTATGATTTATGGAGGCAAGATTGAAGAATGCAACTATGAAGAATTGATTTAATTGCTCTAAAATATAATGGTTAGCAATAATTGAAAGGATAAATGATATAAAGTTCATACCAGTCAAACTGGTCACATTAGGTCAGTCCAGCAGTGTTAAGTAGTCAACAAGAACACAGGGAATGGTGTCTGATCTCCTACATTTATGTATAATTTATATTTCTTGGCTGGTCGCTGGCTATTATTCTTTATTACAGGAGAAGATGAATATCGATGTTCAAAGAAGTTGCGTTAATCATGTGACGTGTTAATGTCTCAACTCTCTTGCTTGATACATTTTATACAGTCAGATTGATCTCAAATGGGAATTAATTCTTTCCGTGTGAGCATAATTTGTAGATTTTTCAGATACAGAGCGTTTTCAGACAATTAATTATGTCAGAGGTTTCCTCTCCTATTGATTCACCCAATCTTTCATTTTATGCTAGTCTCTGTTATTGTTCCAGAAAGCATGCATACTATTTTTCAATCAAAAGTTCTACTAAATACAACTACTGTATCACCTTAGGAGATGAATACTGTTTCTGGGAAAAAAAAAAAAAAACAATATAGGAATCATATTTAAAAAAAAATATCAAAATAATAAATGGTTGGTTTTTTTGCTTCTGTCTTCAAATCTCTCTAGAACTTCAGATTTCTGCTAAAGTAGAAGGGAATTTTAAAAAAAAATTAGGATGCCAAAAATGATATACTGCCTTGTGTGTACATTTATTTCCCTTTCTCCACAAAAGATGGATCTTTTAGGCACCATTGAAGTTCCATGGAGCTGTAATAAACCAAAAACACACTCCATACAACTATTTACACTTACAAATATCAGTTGTATGTCATTAAATAGTCAAGAGCAGGTGAACATTAATTTACAGAAAACAATTTAATCAATGTTAATATCATTATGCGCTAAAAGTACTTACATATTTTCCTCTTGCTGTAACATGATGTGATTTTTCTTGCACTGCTCTTTATTATGTTGCACTGCATAATGGTTTTCAAAATATCCCCCTGACTCTTGATAACTTGCTCACTTAGCGTGCTTTTTCATCTAGGGAGTTAATAAGTCACTCATATCTATGCCAATACTTGCTAATAGGGGACACTTAAATGAAGTAAGTTGGACGTCCAGCCCTTTTCCAATCCGAAAAGATAGAAACAGATCAGAACTTCTGTACCTCTCAGAAGATAATCTGAATCTGCCACAGGAAGTCACTGCCTCTGGAAAAGCATCTTCTGTTTCTCAACTGTAGAATAAGCCTGCTTCTAGCATCACTTCAATATCTCAAATCACCTTTATTTTTTGTTAGATTTGCAAATTTGGTCTGTTTTATTTTTATTTTGTGGCTTTAAGTAATAATGATAATTTTCTACTACTCTTGTATTCACATAATTATTGTAGTTCATGACTGAGTTCAGCGCACTGCAAAAGTCAAGCCATATATTTCAAACAGGACAGAATGCGAGTTCTCAAACAATGTTTTAGCTCGACTTACATTAAGACATTCAGATACTAACTCTGTGAGTGCTTATTAAATTTCAAGAGTCTATAATATTCAGTGGCTCCAGACTTTTAACAGATGACTATCTCCTAGCAAGTTAGCACTGATATTATCTTATGAAAGTTGGTAAATAAATTTAAAAGAAAGAGAGGGAAAAAAAAACTTGAGATGAGATAGGACAACCTCACAATTTTTTGTAGAAAAAAATTACTAAGGCATTGCACCACTATTATTAGTCCACAATTCAGCATAATAACTCAGTGAGTGTGTGGGTTCCAATGAATATCCCACCTAGTCCAGAAATATTTCCATATGTGAAAATGCATGGAAAAATAGGACCAGTGTACCCTTTGTCATGGAATTTTACAGGTCTGTCTCAGGCATGTAAAGCTACTACTTTTCATTCATTTTCAGCCTTTCACTAACTAACTTGATAGCCCCTTCTTCTTTAAATGGAATCCCCCGCCACTCATTTCACAGTGCTCCAAATCTTAATAACTCTGCTGTACTTTCCTTAAATTGTTTCTTTTTCACAGGCTGCATAGGCCCATACCCACTCACTTCTGTACTGCATCTTAAATCATCCTGTCTGTATTTTCAGTGTTGTAGCGCACTATTTGAAACAATGAAAGAAAACAAATATGCTTTCCAACCATATCTTGTTTGGCTAAGAATTCCCAATCTTTTCATCCATAGCTTAAAAAAAAAAATCACTGGTCAGATCAATTTCTAAAGAGAACAACTCAGTTACTGTTTCATATTGGTTATGCATTTCCAGATTCCTATGAGTAAAGACTTATGAAAATGGTAGAAGTAGTAATAAAGGAAAGATTATAATGGTAAGATATTACTTACAGGTGATCCTGGAGTTATTCTTGATACCACTAAGGGCATTTTTTGATCTATACCACCCTACAGGAATATCAAGTAAATAATGACCATCAATACATTGTTTTAAACAAATAATCACCTACTTTTGCTTTCATATAAAATTTGTTCTGTCACTTGAGGCCAGTAAAACTGAACTCTCATGAGCAAATATCAGGATGGGTGTACTCTTTTTCCAGTAGACTCAACCTATTGGCTTTGCTTGTCCACATGTTTTAAGAGGCAATAAGCAGAACAATGCAGCATTACTCAAACCCTATCCTTCAAGCAAGCCTATTTCAACATTTGAACTCACAAGGTGGACAGTATTAAGGTATTATGGTGAGTGTGCAAGAGATCAGATAGGATCGAAATTCAAATAAATAAATAAATAAATACTCCCTTATTCCCTTTACATAAAGCTCTATCAACACTTCACCAATAAATAGCAAGGCAAAATGAACAAACATTACCCTGATTTTGATAGTATTGCTATTTTATCTGTTCAAGTGGAATTTTTTGGTGATGCAATTAGAAAACTTACAGAAGGAATCAATACTTGTTTCCATTTTCGCAATTCATTTTCATCTCTCCTATGTGATTTTTTCATGGATACATTTGATAAGATAGCACAAGCTATTTAATTTGCTTTGTAATACAGACATTTTTTCTAGAAATTAGTATCTTAAATTATGTTTCCAAGTTCATGTCTACACAGCAAAATAGGCAGTTTGCTTTGGAAACATGTCACATCCATAGTATATGCAACTAAAGAATAGAGAAGTAGCAAAGGCCTGTTTTCGTAAATATGATTTCTATCATTTAAGGATTAGGATGCCACTTCTAAAAATTTTTGAGTCCTTAAGAAATTCCTGTGGGATATACTGATTTCTCTGAAGTATTACATTAAAAACAAAAAAATAATCATAATATCAAATCATGGTATCTATATAAATTATTTTAAAATAACAAAAAGATTGTTGATTTACCTTCAGATTAAATCCAAACTTCCCATCTTCATCTGGTGTGATACGCACCAAAAGTAAATCTCCCTCAATTACTTCATTCTGCAATATACAGAAAAAAACTCAAACCAAGTTTTTTTTTAAGTTTTAAAACCAAGCAGCAGAAAATTAGAGCATAACATACCCACATTTAGACACGCTGAACAGTAATTCTCCATGTAAATACATGTTCAAAAAAGGAAGAAGCTAAGGTTAAAGAATATACTCAATTGCAACCTTTAAAAACCTTTAAAAATTGCAACAAGGGCTGCTCTGAAGGTAATGCCTCCTATTTTATGAGGATGGCCCACAACTTCAGAGGAGGATGTTGTGCTATGGCAGTAGGGGTTGAACCTTCCCACCAATATTTCATTACATGTTGTTGCCATGTGACAGATGGCAGAAGAGGGGCAGTCTGACACAATGACAGCTGACACGGAATTGCAGTTTCAGCAAAGGAGTGTCACTAAATTCCCCTATGTGGAAAAAATAGAATGAATTGATGTTCATCGATGGTCTCTAAAACTGCTAAGCAAGCAAACAGTTGATGTAAGCACAGTAAGGCAGTGCATGATGCAGTGGCAACAGCAGGTCACTTCTGCTAACGCAGACTGTTATAACCGTGACATGCAGGTTCTTGTCCATCACTGGCAAAAATGCAGAGCTAATATTGTAGCTGAGAGATTTCTCTACCAAATAGTGTTACTGTGCTCTTGGTATTGATTGTAGTTTCCACAGAAATAAATAGGAGGCATTACTTTTGACGCAACCTACGCATAATGGCAAATGCGTTCTATGGTTTTTCTGTCCTTACACTCTTACTCTCACAGCTTTTTCAACTGATACTTATTAGAACTTTCAATGTATTGCCATAGCTCAAGGAATAAAAAAAGGTACAACATCTTCAAACATTTTTGTTCTAACAATTATGGAATAACAATTTTTTTTAACACTTCTCCTCTAAAAGGGTGAACTGGTATCTTCTCATTCATTCTTCATGAATACTCCAAGCAAGGATGATTAAAACTTGGCTATGGCTAGTGGGAAGCCAAGTTAAGAAGCTGTTCAGCACCGCTCTGGAAGAGGCTAGAGGAAAGGTGAGGGACGATCTGCTGTCATAAAGCTAGCAAGGAGCAGCTGCTCTCTAGTCAACTCAGAATTCAAAACACAATTTTTAGCCATTCCAGATGGGATTTGTGCTCACTATCAAGACATACAGGAGCTTGAGTGACTTTATCCTAGAACAAATGAGATATAGTCATGCAAGGATTCCCATTCCATTAAGAACTTCCAGCAGATGCTGCTGGAAACCTGGTTGCTATGAGAAACGTATGTACATAGTAGGCTTACCTATCATATTGTATACACAGCCTTGGAGAAATATGAGTAAGACAAGAAGCTTTATTCCTGTTACTGCATAGAACATGCTCACCCCAGAATAAAATCACAGTTTTTTGGAGTTCTTAATCTACAGTTCAAAGCTACATATGTTACCAGTTTTGACTTGAAAAGAATGCAACTGAACATACCTTATCACAGTAGTACTGACTGGAGTCATCTGTTGAGCTACTTTTTGTAACATTGTCATATGTTTCTAGGAAGTGTTTATCCACCCCTTCCAGTGGGTAAGAGTCACAGATGTTACCAACTCCGTTGGGGGACTGAGTCAACGCTTTAGGTGAGGTATGGGTCAGAGAATTCCGAGTTGGACTATTTCCCAATACATTCCTTCATTAAAATAAATATATATATATTTATTATATATATTAGAAAAGTATTGTTATCCAGATTTTTACATTAAACTGAGTAAAATGTGCAAATGTATCACTCAGATAAAAGAACAAGTCTTTCTATACTCGAGGTTAAACAGCACTTCTGACATGCAAAGTAATGGGACTGAAGAATGATCTATGCGTATTATTTGTTCAGTGGAGATCTAGAAGATTGGGCAGAATAAAACTAGAGCAAGAGACATTTTTAGCACTGTTGAAGGTCAACAGTGAAAGGCACTGCTAAAGTGGTACATGAAATCACTGCAACAAAGAAGGAAATGAGAACAAACCCCAGGGGAAAATACTTCAGCTGCCAATTCTATTCACCTGTATTACCCCACTGTAGAGAAATCTTTCACTTGCATCATAGATCATGATCAGGGCCAGTACTCTTTGCAAGCACGCTCTGTAGTGCTACAGACAACCAGCATTACAATGAATTGTATTTGACCCTTGCATGTACGCATGCTGGTTTTTTTTTTGTTTGTTTGTTTTGTTTTTTGTTTTTTTTACAGAGCATATTCAATTCATTATCTAGTTCACCATTCCTAAAAGCAATATCAAACTCTCACGGGATGGTAGTAGTAGAAGTAAATCCCAGCATGAAGAAATAAAACTATATTATACGGGAATGTAATGTAGGCTTTTTACATGCAGGATTTGCAATGGAACAACTATTAATAAACATAGACATTTATTTACTGGTTTGCAGAAATCTGACTGCAAGTAACAAACATGATGCCATAGGTCAGCAGGCTAACTTATTTTTGCCTTAATATTACTGATGTTCAGTTTTATTACATGTACTTGGCAACGTGAATGAAATGTTTTTGGCAATATTTACAACATTTTCAATTACCATGGAAAATATTCTTCAAAGATATTATTTATTTGGCTCTTTCAACAATTTTAGAATATTTTAGCGAACTGTAATGACACTTAAAAAGAATTATTAGTTTTATTTGATAGCTTCAAAGAGGTTTTTATGATTCCTGTGAGGTTGGTTAAGCAAGCAGGAACCACTTATATGTAAACACATCATAACATATTTTTCAGAATATAGTTAGTTTAAAAGCAAAATTTCACTTGCAACTTAGGAGTTTAGTTCTTAATGAGTTTCCACCAGAGAAAAAATTAACGCTGGAATAATGCGACAAATTGCTTCAGTTATTGCCTTCTGGCAGTAAAATCACCAGTAGATTTTGGCATCATTAAATTTTTACAAAAGAAATGGAACAGTTTAAGAAAATCATTGTTTTGCTTTGTTAATAGTGCTTAGACACTTATTAGGATTTAAGTCTTCTCACATCCTGATGCAAAAATGTAATTTTTAAGAAAAGATTTACCATCTTCATTGATTTCAACAGTTATTTCTGCCTTCAATCATACAAGACCAGTACTTAGAAAAATCAATTCAAGTTATGTATTTTATTGATATCTTAAAGATAAAGATTCTGTAGTAGAAATTTTAAAGACAACTCACTTTGGTGATTCTTGTTCAGACGGCCTGTTAAAAATAAATAAATAAAACTCAGTAAGTGAACAGAGATTAAATCTTAAAGAAAACAAGAACTCTAATTAGGAAAAAAAGTCTGTGTAAAAGATGTGCTTACAGTAAATTAAAAAATATGTATTCCTGTGCAGAGAGTCTAAATCAGGCAATTAAGGAATTTGTGAAATAACAAAAAAAAAATCACTGGGCAGCTCTAATTATTCACTTCCACTTCTGGCACACACCCAACTACCAATACTACACATCTGCTACTTTAGCCTAAACTGTGCTGGAGTTTGCAGTGGCAATTATTTAACAGGATACACTACATCGTTTGAAAAAGTTTTAGATGTGGATCACGATGACTAAAGATGTCACTGATTGTATTTCTTTACATGTAGGTAATGAGAAATTAGCACAGGCTGCTTTAGAAATGTTAGTTACAATGCAACAGTAGAACAGGTGCTGACAGAATTTTAACATAAAATGTAACTAAAGCAGTGACTACACAGACCAGGACAATCTAACACAGAAAAGAAGGGTGGTTAATCAGGGTTTTTCCACAAAGCAGCTTGGCTGATTGTAACAGCATATCAAAAGAATATCCACACACGTGGCATCTAAATAAATAAACTCTCCTCTCTGCTCATTATCATCTAGGAATGAAGGAATCTGTGTAATTGTAAAACTTACTGTCCTAGAATAAACGATAGCTTAAACTGGGAGGGAAAAGAATGAAGAAGTGTTAGACTGGTTACCTAGCCCAGTACTCTGTTCTCAGAAGTGGCAAACTAACATTTAAGGCCAGGCTGGATGTGGCTCTGGGCAGCCTGGTCTGATGGCTGGCAATCCTGCACATAGCAGGGGAATTGAAACTGGATGATCATTGTGGTCCTCTTCAACCCAGGCCACTCTATGAAATCAGACATTTAGTGATGCTTTGTGAGAAGACATGGTCACCAGCAGCTGGCAGTTTTGGGATTTTTGTTGCAGTTTCTTCAACCATACTTAAATGAAAAACTGATAAACAGTAAAGCAGTTGGAAACAGAAACAACTGATAATCCTCTCATGAAGCAGTCCTACGCTTCTAGAATATGCACAGAATTTCCTTCAAAGTTGTACAGGTAGAAGAGAGAAATCAAGACAGGTCAGAGGATTCTCTACTTGCTTAAGGAGACTGCCTAGTCCCCTTAGAACCCAATTACTCTGTTCCCATGTCTGTCCCCACCCAATTATTGTGAACACCTCAGCAAATGAAAGAACAAGTCCTGAGCTGCAAATACACTCCCAATACAACTGCCCTTCACAAAAACTACCATGTCAGATGCCTTCTTTCCAGAAAGAGGCCACAGCTGGAGGTCAGAACTGTCCAGGTGGCACAGTATTCACTTCACAGTAAGCTGTATCATGATACAGTTTACTTGATGAAAGCTGTACATGAATATACTGATACTTTTCATGCAAAGGAAAGCAATGATGTGCCTCAAGTATGTATTTCTTCTCCAATTATTTATCCTGAGTTTAGTAACCTAGCTACATCCATTACTGCATGGTTTTTTTTGTCTGTCAAAACCATTGTGCTCCTTTCCTTACTCTATTCAGTTAGCCAACAAACTTAAAAGCTTTTTTTAAAAAAAACTTAAAGGACAGGACTTAACGTCCATTACTGTTTTCCCTTTTAAAGATTTCATCACAATAATTACCCAGCAACGAAGACATTCATTGTAAGAATATAAAATGCGTTCACACTGCTGTTCTTACTATTTGACTGTAAATCATGTACTGTGTTCCATTAAAACTACAGTAAAAAGGTAAATATCATTCTAGTTCAGTTTCCTCATAAAGATTCTATAACATAAACAAATGCCTCCTTGATAGGGAGAGATGGCAAATTCCATAAGAATTTGTGAAGGTTTGATTGTGCATACTTTTTTTTTTCCTGAATACTACAGTTCATCTTTATTACAGCTATGCCCCAACATGTGATCCCAGTGACATTCACTCCCATTCTCCCAGAAGTATTTCCAGCTCTCCTTTTTACTAATCCTCATAGTTCTTCCACTCCTTAATTGACAGCATTGGAAAAGATCCTTTGGCACCATGCACACATACATATGCTGCCTGAGCAGCCAATCTAAGCAGTGCAGACAACTGTTGAACTCATACTGGAGTTACTCAGAGAGAGAAGGTTAAACATTTTATCTGTCTAGTCAATGATTTCACTGAGCTTGTTAAAAACAATTTCCACATTTGAAAGCTCCACACCTACATAGGATTTGACTGCAGTCGTCCAGACTTTGTGAAGTGGAAAGACAGGCAGTGCAATGACACAAGCTTTTATTTATTTTAGTTTAAGCTAATTGATTTCCATCTGATGGAAACAACAGGAAAGCCATACATTTTTGTGTATTCTGCCACAAGAGAAGGGATACAGCTCTATTACTAACATCTGTGCAGAATTCAAGTTGTCATACGTTAACCCTCTTGAAAGCTTGCACTGAGAACTACACACCATAAAATTCTGATGCAATTAGACATGATTCTCTATTTTAATATAATCTCCTTTCACCCCACATCATGAGAGTGAGGCCATTTGAGACAGAAAAGAATATTTCCACTTTCATTCATATACTGTGTATAAACAAATAGCAAATTCTCAGTCACCTCCATAATATATCCAGAGACTTAAATGTGGGATATAAATTCTTAGTAATGTTTGCTGAAGATTCATCTGTTGAATTACTGCACTTTAATTTGTATGTATCAGTCTGAAGGAGTTACTGAATCATTCCGTAACCTTTTCGAGTATAAAAAGGTTACCTAGAAAATGACCAAATTCAACCCCTACAGAATTCATCAGTGACAAGGGAGCTGTGTCTTCATAAAGTCCTCAGCAGCACAGCATGCTGTAGCTGAAGAATTTTAATCTTCACAACTCAATGAAATATTACTTCCAACACAATTATTCACCACTGTGATGAAGTACTTTGAACAGGAACAACAGGATCATATTTTCTGGTCAAACTGTATTCCACATTTTACTAAGATATCTTCCTCGTTTCACAACAAACAATAAGCATCATATTTTAAGTCAATAAACGAGAACACTCACCAGACCAACCAATCGACTTTTTCATCAAGAAAAAGAGACATTCCTTGCAAGGAGAATAAACTTTCCATTGGCTCAGCATGCAAACACTTCAAAACTGCAAGTAATTTCCCTTCCTTACTCCACTGTGTATCTAAAAAGATGCTATTTCAATCTTCCACTCACTACAGATTGCTCTGTCAGTGATAATCTTTACAATGAAAATCTACTGTGAAAATCTACCTCTCTTCTATCAAGTTTCAAGGAAAGACCCCTCCTCCTCAGACGTGTGCCTTACCAGAGAATTTGCTATTCTGAGAACTGATGATGATAAGGTAAAGTCAAATCCCAAGAGAAAAGGGACAACTGAAACAATAGAACTGTAGCAAAACTCCCTCTCTACAAACAACAGAAGGAAACATCTGTAGGTTTTGCCCTTGTAGTGTTCTTCAAGTTATTGAAGCTTCTTTTCTCTAACACCTGCAGGGGTGGGGAGACTGAATGTGGCAGTATTTCCATTACTAGATCTTTTCTGAGAACTACCCATTTAAACTGGGATTATTATTCATAAACAAATTAAATGGAAGATATTTAAAGCATCATCTTTTTGCTGCCTATTAGACAAATTTATGTACAGCATGAGTTGCACAGTTAACATTCAGAAATTCTGTGAACAAGCAGAAAAACAGTTTAAGACAGCTTATAGAATTTCTTATAGAAAGAAATAGATTCTTTCTGCTTTATACTTGAGCACTATTACAGAAAAACTTGTGGCTTTCACAGTATGCTCAAGTTTTGCAGAGATTTTTGTAAGTTCCAAACATCCATACTGATAAGCTGCTGCCATTAACCATGAAAGGATTCCTTCAGTTCCTCTACAGTTCCTTTACTGACCATACTTCACATAGCTTCATGTATTCTGGTAATTTTCAAAAGCTCAATTTGCTGCAAAATTTGCCTCATCACAGATTAGCATTTTGGCGTTAGAGGTGACTTTTTGTTTTGACTGACAAACAGAAAGTGTAGTACATTTCAATAAAGATATATTTTAAAAAGAGATTTGTGCATAAGATAAACACACATTCTCTTTCTTCGCATATTTGAGTGGAAGAGCACTGTAAAATCCATAGTAGCCCATTAGTAACAGTCTTAAAAGCCTAATTTGAAACTCATGAGGTGTTCAACCGAAAATCACTTATTGGGGGTTCTGAAAGGTATGTATAACAACTTGAGGTCACAATTTCTAAAGTTGCAGCATTCCTACATTTCTTCACAATATGTTTAGTCTTTATTTCACAGTCACTTAGGCTCACATGCGTTTTACCTTATCTTGTTGATAATAAGTGGTTTTTGCAAGCTTCCATCAGCAAAGGTGCAGAAATGGAACAGAGGGAGGATAGAGAAGTGATATTTATATTAACAAGCAAACTAGGAAACATATGGTAGAATACAACATACAGTATAATCCCAAGTGAAGGTCCAGGAAGAATATTTTAATTCTAGGTTTGTCTGAATATGAACTAAATAAAAAATTAAAATAAGACACAGAAGAAGTATAGAAAAGTCTCCAAAAAAACAAAAGCCAAAACCAAAAAAACAACAAACAACCACCCAAAAAACCAATAAACGAACAACATTTAAGTCCAACACAGCTGATGAGGAGGATGCAAATGGTAAGCAATGGAATGACAAGGTTAATTAAAGTGAAATTGAAATGTTCTGAGATCTACTGCCTAATCTACCTAATATTGGAAAAGCACCTTCCTTTAGAAAGACTGAAGTACATCAACAAAGACAACAGACTTTAGAAATGCAGGAGATTTTGTAAGAACAAGGAATTAAGCATGCATGTATGTGATTAAGGACTGAAGTAAAAAGCATTATAAATTGAGTCCTTTAAAAGTATTTTCAATTTCATGTCAAGAT